ACAGTTCCAAAAAAATGAAGAACGTTCCTACATTACAATCGCTTCCCCCTATAAAAGTAGTTTTTAATTTCTTTCTCCCCCCCCCCCGCATAAATAATCTTTGCATTTTCTTATTCACTGCTGAAGAAGCTTTCAGTACCATTTACAAGGTGACATCCTTCGCATAGCAAATGCATTGCAGGCCTCTTTTTATTAGCATACAAAATTCCACTCATCTTCCAAGATTTTCCCGCATGTCATTATTGCCTGTTCTTTAATACTGTCCTCACATACTTTACCATGTTGATGACCCTTCCCATGTATTCAATGCCAGTCAATCCTGATTTGTTGATGATGTTTCTGCCATTACGAATGCTCGTGAAATACTTATCTTGCTGCTTGAAAACCAGTTAAGCCAGTACTAAATGGCAGGCCGGCCCCTATCCAAGGACAGGTTTGAAATGCATCAATAAAATAGCATTCTGCACAGGGCAAGTAGGTCAAAGTTCTCCACATCTGCCTCATTTGCCTCTAAATATAAAGTGAATCCTAACGGATGTCCTACTTTAGTATATTATTGCATCAGGCATAAGATAGACATCTCTGGACTGTAGCTTTGCATTGTGTAGGCCAATGCAGGGATTACAGCCTGCTGCCAGCAACAACATAAGGGGAACTCGGGCAACTCTGAGTCTGGTCCTACTCTATGTCTTTAATGACTGCCTTTGCCAAATCATATTTCTTTCATTTAGATTATATGAAACTTTTAATCCCCATGATTAAATAACTGAAATGGATGATGAAGAAAACCTTTCACTGAACATATTAGGAAAGACTGAAGATAATATTTGGTTCTTTGTTTTCTTTTTGTTACATTTGCACTTTTCTTTCTGTAACAAATCAATAAAAATTGCTTTTTTTAAAGAAAGGAAAAACTGGATTTTGTCAAAGCTCTAACAAATACTTTTGGCTAAAAAATTTAAGCAATTATCTTATACATGTTGTTTTCACTAATACATTCATTTTTATGGTCATTTCCCCCTAATATATGCATTTTTGTAAATATAATTTGGTTGAGGAACTGCATCCCAAAATTAGGTAAATGTGAATTTTGAAGGAGGACTATGTTGCAACACTCATATGGCTTGGGAAAGTGCGAATTTGATAAATTCACCTTTAAATGGGAATAGAATTGAATTTCTCCCCCGTCTCTAGCCCAGAAACAGGTCTAGTGCTTCATCTACTATTTGTGCGAACAAGGTTTAAGAGAAGTACTCCACAGAGAAAAGCAGCAAGAATCAAAAGTTTTATGTGGGTTAGAGTGTATGGAAACAAAAAGCTGAAGAGAGGGAAAGGTGTCTAAAAGCCCTCCACACTTAAATAATAATAATGATAATGATAATGATAATAATTCCTCAGTAGCAAGTATTACTTTTCTCAAGATTCTTTTACAAAAATTAATGTCTTCGATATGTTTTCATATTTATTAGCAGATTCATCAAACATTAACAAATTCCTCTTGACTGCCTGTAGAGGTTAATGTGAAGCATATTTATACAGATAAAATGTTGTTCCAAGGTATGTAAATTATAGGAGTGCAATAAGTGCAAAAAGTGAGATATGGAAAATTCCACTGCATAAAAGGAAAAAAGGTGCCACTGCAAGCTACATTTACATAGAAATTGTTGTACTTTTCTGATTATAACAGGGAATAGCCTGAGATAACAAACACACAAACAGAATATATTTTTGAAACTGAAACTAGATTATAGCATAACAGAGTTGCATCTTTTTTTTGTCTACTACTTTAAAATTTAAATTCAATCACTTTTATTTGAAATATTTAAATACAAAAGGTATCCTAGGTATAGATGGTGCTTGGATGAGCAGGCTATAGAACAAACTCGCTCATTTATTAGTGAAACCCTCTCTTGGAAGTGTCATTTGGAGGCAGTAAAAGTCAAAGCACAGAAAACCAAAGGAGCATTGATGAAGTTCTATTACAATAAGGAAGGGCAGCTAATTGTACCTGCTCTAAAGATATTTGGTAGCAAAGTGCTTACCCTAATGTCTATGGCGTTGAAATATGGGGCTCTGATTTGAACTCCATTAAAGTTTTGAAAAGTATGCAGAATATTTTTCTCCAGAAGCTATACTGGATACCATCAGGAATGTCAGCAGCTGTTCTTCATACAGAATTCGTGTGGCCAACAATTAAGGCAAGAGTGGACGGTGCTCAGTTAAAGAGTGTGTGTGTGTGTGTACACACTATGTCTATTGAGCATTTTCCTTCTTGGTGCAATATGGATTGGGTGATAACAAATCCTCAAAACTCACCTGGGCCCATAGTGCTCAGTCAACAGCCTCCCTTTCCAGAGGCCCCTGAATGGAGTTTGGAATGGGATAATTTACACAGGTGTAATTTATGCTGGTCTAAGTTATGCAGGCTTCCTATAGATTTGTTCTGTTAATCATGCATATCCTGCCTTTCTATTTAAGAATTGCCCAACACAGCAAACAATCATTAATATGCTATACAGAATATCAAAACCTAAACTATCAATACAAGGTAAAAATCAACAACAGTTCATAAAGAAATAGTTCAGTAATCAGATAAATACAGATTCACATTAAAGCGACCATACAATCCCAAAGGCCAATGGAACACCACGGTACTGCAGTATCCTATGTTTATATGCTCAGAAGTAAGACCCCATTACTGTAAATTATGGGGGTTGCCCCAACGTGCATCGTTTTGCACTTACCCTGAATTTTACTTCCCTTGAATGGAATGGGTTGGCCATGTGAGTGCCCTTTAACCCTTTGATGCCCATGCTGCTGGCGAAACTGTCTTCCTCAGTAAAATTATAATACTTCAGAATAGAAACTAGGTATGTCACTGTCTACCTTTGTAGCAGTTAATAATCACTACTATTGCTTGCCACTACTTCATTCCTGCAGCTGCATTTTGCAAGAAATAAAAAGCTTTCCAAGAATGTCAAACCGTCCCTCTCTCCCACTGAGGATTTCAGGAGTGAACTACATCACACGCTGAAAAGGCATTCACTGAAACTCACGCTGTTTAAGTCGTGCCAAAATGTGACATTGAGCAGTAGCATTCATAATTCATGTGGCATCATTAGCAGATTCTACAAGACATCCAAAGGCCATCATGTCAATGAATAAAAATGTGTGGGTATTATTGATACCTGCCTCTATCTAAATGCATTTAGAAGTGATACAACACATCACTATAGTTACTCAGGAAATTAGCATAGGATAAATTACAGCTTTCAGCTGACATGTGAAAGTGATCCTTGCCCATTTTCCTCACATTCAAAACATAGCTTTATTATTGTAAACAAAAATGCTTCCGCAAGATGTATTGACAGTGCTTTAGCAATATATTTTTAATTAGCAATTTATATTACAGTTGTTCAGTGCCCAGTATGCTAAGATTGTTTAGCCCTTTAGAATAAATAATACTGACCCAATGACCTGATCTATTCCTATTTAGAAAAGAACAAAATTGTCAAGCTAGGACCACAGTTATCAATATTTCATTCACACTCTTAGAGCTATCAAGCAGGCTCTGAACTGAAAGCTGTTTAGCTGCCAGGGGCACTGTTAGGCACTTAAAAAGCCTCAGAGACCAGTGTGCTATAGTGGTTAGTGTTGGGATACTGCCAGGGAGACAAAGTCCATCATGGCCCCAAGCCGTCTGCCGGACGATCCATTGATCTCCCGTAGGCACGCAGTATCAGCAATTAGTGACATGAGTTTCTAGAAAATATCTTGCCACATTCCAGAGCTCATGCACACTCTATCAGCAGATAGTCACAGCAAAAGTCGCACTCAGGAGAGCATTATTTACAAGTTTTATTCAGGGTTGATCAGAACAAAGAAAGACATGACTGCCTGCGTCAGGGTCTCCGACACAGAGAGAGAAAACGAAAGCAACAGAAAACATAAACATCCTGTGAACAGGAAATACGCAGACTCTGTGACTCACAGCCTGCTCCCTTTTAAGGTGGAACGGAAATATCCTAACAGTTAGAGTGTTAGACTAGGACCTAGGGGTCCAGGGTTCAAATCCCCACACAGCCATGAAACTCACTGCATTTCCTTAGGCAAGCTACTATCAGTCTCTCTAACCTACCTCACAGGGTTATAGAAAGGATACAACGGTGAGGGGGAGAAGCTTGAGCTCCTTGGAGGAAAGGGGGGATGTGGCTGTAATAAAGAAACTCATATATGCTAATTTAGATTTATTTAAGTCTCTGAGCAAATTGAAGTGGTGGGTGGCTGTGGTTTCACTGGCATTGTACTTTGCAGCATGGCCAGCAGATCTGCAAGCAAAGTTGTTTTTAAGTATAGTTGCACCTTGAAAGTTGAACGGAATCCGTTCCTGAAATATACTCAGAGTCGAGAGTGAATTTCATGCTCTTTATTCAGCTCATAGTGGTGAGGAGGAGTGAAAGTTCCCCCAAAATATCGGCTTTATATACATTATTTACACAATGGGCTGCACGTGATTGGTTAATTCCGGGATTCTCCTGTAGGACAATCAGGTTGTGGATTCACTCCCACTTGGAGCTGGATTGGGTGGCTCCTGCGGACCAATCATACTGCTGCATTTAGGATCCTATTCAACTCAGTACATAACAGTTCCAGAAGGCCGTTCGACTTCCAAAGTGTTCAAAGCCAAATTGCGGCTTCTGATTGGCTGCAGGAAGCTCCTGCAGCCAATCAGAAGCCACGGAAGCCCCGTCAGATGTTTGGGTTCCCAAAATAGTTCACAAAGCGGAACAGTTTCTGGGTTTGCGACATTCGAGAGCCAAAATGTTCGGGAACTAAGCTGTTTGACTTCCAATCTGTGACTGTATCTAAAAAGGAGGAGGAGGAGGAGATCTGGAGATTGGAAGAAAAGCCCCAGGGCTCACACTCCACACCTCCGGCTACTCCTAACAATGCTCCTGCTTATGGCACACCCACTTGCTTAGAAGCATTCAAATGCAAGGGGAAGGGCTGTAGCGCAGTGGAACAGCATCTGCCTTGCATGCAGAAGGTCGCAGGTTTGATCCCTGGTATCTCCAGGTAGGGCTAGGATACACACCTTGCCCAAAACTCTGAAGAGCCACTGCCAGTCAGCGCAGGCAGTACCAAACTAGGTGGATCAGTGAGTCTGGCTCAGTATACACAGCTTCCTGTGATCTTTTCAGCATTACAGATTTCTGCATCCCAAGTTTTCAGTAAAGTTTATCATGTAAGCGGCCTTAACGAATACTTGAATTTCAATGGATGAGCCTTGCCAAAGTTACCACATTTGTTTGGGTAGTTTGCTAATTGTAAACTTACAATTTATTATACGTATGTTAATCTTTCTTTATCCCCCTTCTCATTATGGCTTTCAATAATTATAATAAATATACAATTATGGATATGGTTTTAAGGCAGTCAAGATTAGCATCTTCCTTTCAAGAATCACAATTACATTGCTCAAAGATATTCATATTGTAATCAATTATAATACAACTTCCACTGAAGCAGTGTTGAACCCTAGCCAGCTGCCCAATGCTCCAGCTTATGAAAGTTATTGTTGACTTTAAATTATGGCAGGCTTGATATAAAAAAGACATTCATATGCAAAAGGGCAGAAGGTGAAACTAGTACTGCTATATGTGGGACTTTCGTGTGCATCTATTTTTGCATTAGTATGCAGATACACATTTGTCCCTGCAAACTTCTGGTTTAGGAGAGGAGGGCAGGCTGCTCATCCTCAGTGTATCCAGTTCTGCAACTGTGTCTATTTTTTTATTTCTTTTTTTTTTTTAAAGAGATAACAACCAACAATTTTTTCAACAGAATTCTAAAGCAACAGAATAGATCCCATTTTGACTTGTCTGCTAAAGAACTCCTGAACATCTGCCACAGGATTTGTGAGTGTACATTCAGATCCTACAGAGCGTTGTCCAAGTCTATGGGTCTTCTTTATTTTTATTGATTTTATGCAAAGCAGTGTAATAAACTGAACATTAAACAAACCAAAACAGAGCAAACCCAACCTTGTATTAATCATTGCACATCAATACATTTTAGGAATAACTAAAAGTGATTTGAGATAGCAAACTTTGCAAAAAGGGTACCATCTTATTTATTCCCAAGTTGAGTAGTAGACTGTTGAACACCCTCAGCTGAAGTATTGCTAAAGGATAAGAAAGGGGTATGACAGTATATCAAATGCATCAGGTTTCATGTGACCCATGAAGCCTTTGGGTCTTTACGATCTCCCCGTGTGAATGAAGACTGCGCCATTAGAGTGGCACATCAACAACAAGAAGAGATACTGGAGAAAAGATTGGTTTCCAAGGAAGCTTCTCTGCCATTATTGACCTTCATATTGATAACCTTTCAAGGTAATCTCTGGGTTCCCCCAGAATGCAGTTTTTACTGAATGTACACAGTCCATGTCTGACTTTCATCACTTTTCTTCTGATAAGAGGTCTCTTTCTTGAGCTTAGTAGGACAGAAATAGATTTTATCCCAAGCATTGTTTATGAACTCTTCACCTAATTATTTACTTATCTTAAATCACTCCTAGGAAAAGCTTCATTGCCCAAAGCCACTTCACTTGTGCAAACAAACTTAAAAAGTATTGTGTTGCTTTTTTCTTTATTTGAATAAAGTGCTTGGATCACCAACAATAAATGGCAGCTAGAAAGGGACGGGGTGGAGGGCCCACCATTCGTTAAATAATGTAAAACCTATATGGTGTGTTGGGAGAAGATAAGGGCTGTTTATCAGAAAGACAGAATGATGGAAAGAGGAAATAAAAGCCAGCATAGCCATTCTTTGCACACTGCAAAACTGTGATTTTCTTGTACAAAGAAGGTATTCACAATTAAAACACCCTAATGCATTAATGAGCTCTGTTCCATCTGTTTGTAGAAAATTCACACAAGAAATGAATTAATTTCAACCTCTTGAATCATTTTTATATATTTAAGGCATGTGAACATCATGCAGGTATATGGGGAGGGTGTATACCCACAATGCGCACATGCACAATTATATACTTTCCAAATATTTCTCAGTGTAAAATGACAATGCTGCAATGTGTGCCTCTATAGAATAAAACTGTGTAGATCTCTTTGTTCCTTGTCCACTCCACCTTAACCCCAAAGCTCTTGTTTACCATTAAAGCCACTGCTTTTGCATCTTCTCAGAAAGAAAAACAGGGCTAGATGTCATCATCATATTTATGGCACCTTATTCCAAAGCCCCAAGGGGCAGTTCCATATAAATATTTAAAATCAATGGCGGCGGGGGGGGGGCTCTGTGGAGATCCATGGGACAGAACTCATAAAGTGTACTGAAGATGTACACTGCTGTTCTGTTCTGTTGCAGGGAGTGGTTCCAGCTGAATGAAGTTCTTCTTCAAGTGGATAGGGTGCCAGACACAATATTGGGTTTTGGCAAGGGGAGCAAGGCAAAGTCCAGCACATCCAAGTTCAGGTTCCAGTAAGGCAATGCTCGAACAAGATTCACATTCTAACAAGGCAAAGTTCAAGTAAAGACATGAAAGGCAAAACCCAAGCAAATCAGAAGGCAGATTCCAATAAGACCAACACCAGTGCTAATCCACACTTCTATTTATCCCATGATTTCAAGGCACAGGTCTGCGAAGCTTTTCTTTCATCCCACCACTTTCATCAGGATAATAATAATTATCTATACAGTGGTGCCTCGCAAGACGAAATTAATTCGTTCCGCGAGTTTTGTCGTCTTGCGATTTTTTTCGTCTTGCGAAGCACGGTGTCGGGAAAGTTTTGGAAAAGCTTCAAAAATCACCAAAGTCTTTAAAAACCTCAAAAAGTCTACCACACCGCGTTCTATGAGTTGCTCCTCGAAGTCAAGTCGCAACTGTATTAACTGTGTTAAGTAAAAGGAAAGAAACTTGCAAGACGTTTCCGTCTTGCGAAGCAAGCCCATAGGGGAAATCGTCTTGCGAAGCAGCTCAAAAAACAAAAAACCCTTTCGTCTAGCGAGTTTTTTGTCTTGCGAGGCATTCGTCTTGCGAGGTACCACTCTATATCTATATCTATATCTATATCTATATCTAGATCTATATCTAGATCTATATCATCTATATGGCACCCATCTGACTGAGTCACCCCAGCCACTCTTGGTGGCTCCCAACAAAATTTTAAAAGCACAATAAAACCTCAAACATTAAAACCTTCCCTGTATAGAGAAAACCCGCTGTTTACTGCTGAATCAGAATTAATGTCAATCAGCAGAAAACCCAATTGACATTTGTTCCAATTCAAATGTAAACAGTGGGTTTTCCTGGGGAAAGTGACAACGCAAAAGAAGAATCTCTCGAACCCATACCTGGAAGTCATGCAACAAACTGGAGTGTGGATGAGCCCCAAGCTTAACAGTAGCACCCTGGATAGCTCCACATGAAGCTCAGGCTGGAGAGTCATGCAAGCAGGTTCAACTGCTGCTTCAGTGACAAATGGACACAGACTTAGCCTTAAACAGGGCGGCAGGTCCACCATCTTCAGTTTGAAAAGCCTCTTCAATTAAAAAAGTCTAACCTTCTTCAGAAGCCATTGTCTCCAGCACAGGAAGAACATGACCCTGCTAGGTGCAACCTCCTTGGGTGCCAGAGGTGCCTGAAAAAATATGTAATTCTTGTGCTGGAGCTTCTAGGGCAGTGGGGACTGCTGGGACCAGTCCTGAAGGAAAAATACTTCGCTGATACTTCCTCACAATCCACACTGTCATCTCCCAAAGATGGGGAGTCAGGTGCTGGGGTCATGATACCTGCATGTAATGGCTGAAGGGAGCCACAACTGTCCCTGAGTCCCCATGGCATGTACACACAGTATAGGAGAGAAGAAACATGCAGCAAACTCATCTATAATGTCCCTTGGACGCTACATGTTTTCACCAGAACTGGCTAAAGAATTCTCAACCCGAACTTGTGGGTGAAAGGAACCCTTCTACAAGGAAATACTGCTGTGTTTAATCTGAACGAAGTTGAACTGCATTCAGAAAATATGTCTGTAGCTTCAAGTCACAGACAAGCTAGGCTTTTAATGTAACTGATATGATGAAGACAGGCCCAAACAATGTAAATCCAGATCCACATACCATACCTAGGACATTCCTAGCACCATGGACACCTGCAGGAACTTTTCCAGGGGGAGGGGCAAAGTAAACAATGCAAATAAATAAATTGACAGACACAGCTACATTAGAGAACAGGTCTACCATTTCTAGTGACTGAGCAGTGGTGAGGCATTTGCAGATCTGGCCTCTGAGAAACTTGTATTCTAGGTCTACACTTCTGGGCAGAACCACAGGTGCCAGCTTCTCAGGATGATTGAGGGAGCCCAACACAAAATCCTGATTTTGTATGCATGATGTCACAAGGAACAGGGGGCGGAGCTGAATGCCCTCTGAACATTGAGGGACCCCAGCCCCCTCTAGTAGTAGTAGTAGTAGTATTTTAGTCTAGCTTTCTCTTTGTCCAATTAGCTAGATCTGCTTTCCTGCTTACCATGACTTCATTCACTGCCTAAAACCATAAAATGAATGGAAGCAGACTAGTTCCTCACAAAAACAAACGGGGAGAGGCACATTTTGCCTCATATCTCACATTCTACAAATGCTAGAAACATTTATAAACGACGTCTGGGAATCTAGGGGTTACAGTTCATCTGGGGATGGGTGTTCTCTCTCTCTCCACCTCACCCCTTGGACACTCATGAGCTGCACTTAAATGTATGTAACATAGGAGAAGAGGTAGTAATAGAAATATAAATTTTAAAAACAATAACTTTCCTGCAGTTTGCTTTCATGGAGGATGTTGTTCTAAGAATAATTGACTAAAAAGCTAATATTTTACTAGATTGTAGATCCTATAACATGAAGATTGCAGCAAAAAAACCAAAAAAACACACACAAGTCCTTTGCTTCATTATTTGAGTTTTTAAAGGCCATTAGCAATTAATGTCATTTTATTTTAGTGCAGGCAGTGAAGAGAGGATAGGTTGCTAGATGTTAAATAGGTTTACTACATTTT